GAAAAAAATAAATGTTATGATGCTTATTCTGGCTTGACGTTTCAAATTAATCTACACTGGCCGTTCTCAGAGCAACACTAGTTGTTTTGGAAAAAGTATCGGTAGTTCTAATCAAGACTTTAATCTGTCTATTCTTTGCGTTCATATCCATTAAGGAGACGTCACTTTTATGGAGGAAGAACTTAAATGAATTTCAAGCACCATATTCATTTTTCGCATATTTTGGAGGCGAGCCCACCCATGAAAAATAGAAACAAACAAAACTATAAACGACGAACTCGCTTAAAGGCAGTTTTAGGTTTCAGAAAGAGGGAAGGAAAGTTTGCCACAGTTGCAATGTCGGTTTCATTGATGTGGTCATTTCTGACCCTTTCTTTTCCTCCATTTAATTGTGGGGTGCTGATCTCAGTTTCTGTGCCATCAGTCAGAAGTGCTTTATTTTAAAGGCAGAGTCGAGAGCACTTTTGTGGCATCACAGTATGTAGCCTCGAAGTGTTGTTCGTTTATGAATCTCGGAAGGAGGAAAGGTGAGTGACCAGAATGGGCTTGAAAACGGGACCTTTCTGTTGTGAGTTTGACGATCTATCGGTTGAGGAACCACAGTTATGAAGAAGGCTCATGATGTACTGCATGCAGCTGAGAACTCAATTAGTTAAATAGGACATTTGACGATCATTCGATACTTTTAGCCATTATGTAATCATCCTAAGCAAATTTCAAAAAATGTCCCTTTCGACATTCGTTCTTCTTCAGAGGCCAGCCAATCGTGAAGGCTATTCAATGATCTCAGTAGGGCTTAAACTAACGGGGTGTGTAATCCGAATTCTACAAGCGAGAATACCAGGGCTTCTGTATGCTAGAGCCACCTGGTGTGCGTCTGCCTTTAAGTCGTCGTTCCTTTCGTTTGGCCAAGAGGAGGCACCTACAGACTGTTGCCTTGGCTTCCTCATCATATGACTAAATCACCGCATTTGTGATTTATCGACCTCAAGAACAAGTGGCACACAACCGAGGGTACCTCGAGCCGCGCCGTTCCAGACTTTGTCGAGTCTTGTCATGTCAGTAATCGATTGTTGGGGAAGGGAACTTGGTTACAGCGGAAGGGAACTTGGTTACAGCGATAAGCTCCCTATCGTATAACGCCAAATTAGTACCGCATAAACAAAAAAATATATCTGCAGTCCAGAGTTTGTTAAATAGCGCATTACGCCTTCAAGTACCAACGCCTGAAGCATCGCTCTTAATGAAGGGGAGCTGAATACAGCGAACGAAAGGATGCGAGACGCACTTGACATTGTGGATGCTCATTTACTAAGGAGAACATCAGGCAACTAGAAATAAGGGCCTTACCGTATGCTGCAAATTTGGTCTTGAAGGTGTTTTGAGTTAACCCGAATTAATTATGCAAACTATTACTCGAATAAACTCTAACATTCATCCTGCGTCAGTCTGCTGTTCTCAGTCAGTCAACTAAATCAATAATCAAACCCCATCGTGCACTTAACGGCAATCGCTTTCGTCAACTCTTTATTGCTGTCCTTCAAAGCCGGAAGAGCATTTGGTTTTAGGTATGATTTTATTAATATTAAT